CCGCTGGGGCGCAGGCAGACGCAGCCCGTCCGCTGCTGCCTGCGGAAAGCTGCCCCCTGCTACCCGCGCAGCAGGCAGGCATGTTCCTCCTTGCCAACACACGCAGACTTCCCCATCGCACACTCGTGCCCTGGACGGACACACAAACCACACGTGCAATGCACAAACACGCTCTCGCCACCAAACCGCCCTCCCCGCTGCCGCAACGTGGGGTTGCTGCAGGGCATGCAAGCTCCTCCGCGCTCCCCATGCATGGCCTGGCACTGCAATGCTGTGATAAATCTGAACTGTCCTGCAGCATGGAGGGCATCTGTCCGCTCCTGTGGTGGGGTTTCTACCCGTGCATCAGCCGGAGCAGCGATGCTGCCTCCGCAGCAGAGTTTAGAGCTGGGGTACAGTGGGTGAGCGAGACAGAGGAGGGCAGTGACGGCTGGCTCTCGAGGTGGAAATGCTCTCAGGGCCTGTCTTAACGCCTGTGTAGGTACTCCAGCAGAAGGTGGTTTTGAAAGATGGAGAATGCATTGGGAATTTCAGGGGCAGGTTGAAAAGCAGCCCCTCGGCAGGGCGAGGAGCAGGGGGCTGCTGCTCAGGGCTTGCTGCGGCGATGTGTCAGAGCCTGTCCTAGATGGAAGACTCAGCCCTATTTCTCTCTTTCCTCTCTTAACAGATTTCTCCAACCAAGTCAATTCCACGTCCCTGAACTCTCCCACGAGCCGGGGACCCATGGCCACCCCATCCCTCCACCCGTCCATCGGGCCGGGCATCGGCTCTTCGCTGGGCTCCCCGGGCCAGCTCCACTCGCCCATCAGCACGCTGAGCTCACCCATCAATGGCATGGGACCTCCATTCTCCGTCATCAGCTCCCCCATGGGCCCGCACTCGATGTCCGTCCCCTCCACCCCCAGCCTGGGATTCGGCACCAGCAGCCCGCAGGTAAGGGGAAGGTGACAAGGGACGTCGCTGCTGCCTGTTTAGCTGGGGAGAAGCCACCTCCATGGGTTCCCGATCCAGACCTGGCTCTGGTCTCCCCGCTGCAAGCCCCGGCTCGCAGGAGGCTGCGCTGGCCAGGCAAGCACAGGGAGATAAACTCCATTGCAGGCAGCGCAGGCGGGCGCTGAAGGGTGGCAAAAAGCAGAAGCCCAAGGGGGAAACTAAGTTGGAGGCATCCTGCTCCTCTGGCCAGAGCTGGGCGGCTGCAGCCGCCTTTGGGGCTGCCCTGGCTGGGCTACAGGAGACCAGCACAGTCGGAGTATGACCATCCATCATCTCCCATCGCTTGTCCCCTCCGGTCCTGCCCTCTCCATCCCCAGGCTGGGGGTGAAAGGGGAGCAGTGACTACCCCTGGGTCACCTGGGGGCTGGTGTAGCTCTGGCAGGGGCCAGAGCCACCCTAGGACTATCTGCACTCCGTGCTTCTCGCCCGAGCAGTCCTGTCCCCTCTCGGGGAACTGGCACGTCCCCTCCGGGGCCAGCCTGCGGTCCCCATGGCATGCGCCGAGGGGTCCCCTGCCCGCTGCCCCTCGCTGGCAGGGCTGCTTTCTCCTCGCAGGGGAAGGACTGGCGTTCGCTGGCTGAAGATTATGTAAAAAAACCTCCAACTACGGAGAGATAAGCTCTTTTTAAAAATAGCAAGATCGGGGCGCGCTGGCCAGCCCCTGCCACCTGTTGCTGGCTGCTCACACCGTATATGTTTAGTAAAAGGGCAGATTAAGGAATTGGCCACCACCTGCCACTCGCTGCGGGTTTATTTATTCCAGGCCCTCTCTGGGAGTCAAGCACCTGCCAGCACCTTTATTTTTAAATATTGGCCTGATTTATTTCCAGAGATAACAGGTCTTTCTACCCGGGGCTGGGAAGGGCTGTACTGTGCTGAGTCCCGTCCCCGGGGACCCCCAGGCAGCTTCCCCAGGACCCAGCATCTCCATGCCGGCCGGAGAGGTGGCAGCTTTATTTGCCTTTTCATGGGCTTCTCCCATGCAGGATCCGGCCCGTGACCCTCATAGATGTGCGGAGACCTGCACCCTGCAGGCCGGTGTGGCTGGGTCCGGCTGGGTCCCACTCCCCGGTGCGGGAGATGAGTGGGGTGGATTTGCCGCCTCCCGTCCCGTGGCTGAGGGAAGGGGAACTGAAACGGTGCCTGGGAACAGGCAGCCAGAGCAAAATTAGCAGCGAGAGAGCCAAAATGGTGGGGAAGGAGTGGGAAGGGGGGATGTGAAGCAACGCAGGGGTGAGCCGCAAGCCGGGGAGGAAACAGGGAAGGGGCGATGCACCCCCAGCGTCAATTAAAAAGCGCAGTTTGCTTTAGGGACCAGCGAGCCAGGGGAACCGAAATAAAACGCAGCCACAGGGCAGAAAGGGGAATTGAGAGTGTGGTCAGATGGTGCTGGGAAGCAAGCTAGCAGCGCGGCGGCTCCAGCCCTCTCGGCGCGGTGCAAGTGCCTGTCCTTTGTTCAGGGACTTGTCTTAAGTGGTTTTCCTAGAGGTGACAGTTACGAGGTCTTCAGCCTAATGGCTCCTGCCATCTGTTCCCTGTCTGGGCGCATTAGGTCCCTGTCCCCGTCCCTGTCCCTGCAGCAGGCAGAGGTGCCTACCTGGACCTGCAGAGGAGTGCGGGAGGAGGAGGAGGAGG